CCACGTTAGCAGTTTTGCGGACGTGGCTCCATGTCAGCCGGTATCGTCAACGTGGCGTCCTCAACACCTTTTCTTCTTCCTCCGTCCTGCGTCTCTCCCTGCTCCCATCTTCTTCGCCCCGGCTCCATCGCCAGCCATGGCACATGGAATCGGCGGCGAGGCGGGGACCACTTCACGGACGCGGTGCAGTAGTTCTGGTCCCGGGACGCGTCTCCCCCGAGAAGCCACGAGCCCTCAGCTCTACTGTAAGTAACAACGGATCAGAACGCATTCCTCTGGGCTGCTTACCCTTCGATCCTGAGTACTCTGTCTATTTTAATCACAAAATTTGGGTTCTCGATGCTTCAAACTGAGCGCAGGATCAGCAAGCAAAGGGTTCTGAATTCTGATGGAAGGGCGCGCAGAAAGTGTTCGACAGAATGCCCCACCCAAAACATGGGTATATCTATCCACCGGCCTGCCAGGAAATTGCAGTGACAGGAAAGATCCTGCTGCCCGCCGACAACGACACTGCAATGCACTGGCAAATCTTGTCGATGGAAGAAGACCCAATACATTCATCCCACCGGCACATGCTCGGTAATGTAGTGGCAATTCCATAGTGTTGTTCCCTTCAATGTTTTCTTCCTCTTCATTGTTTCCAAAGTTTTTATTTGTTCCAGGTGTCTGTGGACTTACTATAAACAAGAACAACCGGGTCACGACACTTGCTAGATTAGTACGTGCCACATCCTCAACCATAGCCTTAACCTTTATCGGTTTCCAGCTAATAGAGTGGTATTTTCCCAGATACTCAAGGCCACATCAGCCGGAAAACGACGCTGCCTACAGTCGTAAATAGCAACCAAGGACAAGAGCAAGAGACGCTGGCTAGATCTAAACTATTGACCGTTTTGGCGGTGAATCTTCTTGAATGAAAAGTATAAAAGGTTAAATCAGTACGTGCCCCATCATCGACCACAGCCTTAGTCTTTTATTTGTTTCCGCCTAAAGTGGTATATTCCCGGATACTCAACGGAAGACCAATAGAACATTCATCCCACGTGGGCTCAGTAATCTACTTGCAATGCGCTGGTGTTTCCTTCAATATTTCTTCCACCACATTGGGTTCATCGCATTATTTGTTTCAGTTGTTTGTGGACGTGTTATAAACAAGAACAATACTAAATTAGTAGGTTGCCCCGTCATCAACCGTTGCCTTAATCTTTTATTGGTTTGCATCTAAAGTGGTATATTCCAGGATACTCAAGGCCACATCAGCTTGAAAACGATGCTACGGTTGTAAATGGCAACCAAGACAACAGCAAGAGACGCTAGATAGATGTAAACTATTGACCGTTTTGGTGGTGAATCTTCTTGGAAAGACAGAAGATTCCATCTTTTCAGGTCTTGAAAGGGACAAGGGTGGTGCTTAGTGGGTGTGCTACCGCTAAGCAATAGTAATATTCAAGCTTCTTGTAAGGTTACTTTAGAAATATATGCACACTGCACACCACAGGATTGGTTTGGGAGTTTTCCACTAAACCAAAGATATAAACGTTCTGTGGTTCTCATAGCATACTCATGAGTCATTACCCAACAACTCCATTACTGAAGCAAAGATTTGTATAGCCAGCTCCATCTAGGAGGCAACCATGTTAGAGGGTGTAATCTGGTTGCTAATCCTGAAGCTTGGGGATGCCCTGGCGAATGAAGCAGCTGTGCTAGGGAAGTCGTTTCTCGTCGAAGCATCTGCTCTGCAAGGCCTATTTGGCGAGATACGGAAAATGAAGGAGGAGCTGGAGAGCATGCAGGCCTTCTTCCGAACTGTCGAGCGCTTCAAGGATGCAGACGAGACAACTGTTGCATTCGTGAAGCAGATCAGGGGCCTTGCCTTTAACATCGAGGATGTTATCGACGAGTTCACCTTCAAGCTGGGAGAGGACCGTGAGGGGATGTTTCTGTTGAAAGCAATTAGGAGGGTCAAGCAAATCAAGACATGGTACCGGCTAGCCAACAATTTGCGTGACATCAAAGCAAACCTCAAGAGTGCTGCAGAGAGGAGGCGCAGGTATGACCTCAAGGGTGTTGAGAGGGACGCAAAACTGACAAGAATAGGCAGCTTAAGTATTAGACCTGCAGAGTCTGTACATTTTAAAAGGGCAGATGATCTTGTGGGGATTGCGGAGAACAGAGACTTGCTGAAGAAATGGATGAAAGATGAGGAGCAGCGACACATGATCATCACTGTTTGGGGCATGGGAGGTGTTGGTAAGACAACACTTGTTGCGCATGTCTACAACGCCATCAAGACTGACTTTGACACCTGTGCTTGGATCACTGTGTCTCATAGCTATGAGGCTAATGATTTGCTAAGACAGATTGTTGAAGAGTTCCGAAAGAATGACAGGAAGAAGGAATTTCCGAAGGATGTTGATGTCACAGATTACAGAAGCCTGGTGGAGACAATCCGCCGTTACCTAGAGAAGAAAAGGTATGTTCTTGTCCTAGATGATGTTTGGAGTGTGAATGTTTGGTTTGACAGCAAAGATGCGTTTTTTGGTGGCAAGCTTGGTCGGATAATTTTCACATCAAGGATATATGAGGTGGCACTGCTTGCTTCCGAAGCCCAGACGATTAACCTGCAACCCTTGCAAAATCACTATGCATGGGATCTGTTCTGCAAAGAGGCATTTTGGAAGAATGAAAACAGAGACTGTCCACCAGAATTGCAGTATTGGGCAAACAAGTTTGTGGAGAAATGCAATGGCTTGCCGATTGCTATTGTGTGCATCGGGCGCCTACTGTCATTCAAGAGCGCGACTTTTCTGGAGTGGGAGAATGTATACAAAACTCTTGAGCTGCAATTTACAAACAATTGCATCCTGGATATGAACATAATCTTGAAGGTTAGTTTGGAAGACTTGCCACACAACATGAAGAACTGCTTTCTTTACTGCTGCATGTTCCCAGAGAATCATGTGATGCAAAGGAAGTGGCTAGTGCGGCTCTGGGTCGCAGAAGGATTTATTGAGGCGAGTGAGCATAAGACGCTGGAGGAGGTCGCAGAGGATTACCTGACCGAACTCATCAACCGGTGCCTGCTGGTGGAGGTTAAGAGGAATGAATCAGGATATGTCGATGATTTCCAGATGCATGACATCCTTCGTGTGTTGGCCCTCTCCAAGGCACGCGAAGAGAATTTTTGTATTGTCCTCGATTACTCAAGGACCAATCTTATTGGGAAAGCACGCCGTTTATCAATCCAAAGAGGGGATATCGCGCACCTTGCAGAGTCCGTGCCGCATCTCCGCTCCTTGCTTGTCTTCCAGAATTCGCTGACTTTTGGCTCGCTCCGTTCGTTCTCAAGGTCTGTTCAGTTAATGTCTGTCTTGAACCTGCAAGATAGTTCGATTGAGAGCCTGCCAAACGAGGTGTTTGACTTGTTCAACCTGCGTTATCTGGGCCTTAGACGGACCAAAATTGCAAATATCTCACAGCTGATTGGAAGGCTGCAGAATCTGCTTGTGTTGGACGCCTGGAAAAGCAAGATCACCAACCTGCCAGTGGAAATCACAAGGCTCTCTAAGTTGACGCACCTCATCGTCACCGTGAAGCCACAGATACCGGCGATGCAGTTCGTTCCTTCCATTGGCGTGCCGGCGCCTATTGGCATGTGGTCTTTGGCGAGCCTGCAGACATTACTGCTGGTGGAATCCAGCTCCGAGATGGTCCGTTACCTCGGAGCTCTGGTTCGATTGAGGTCGTTCCGCATCAGTAGAGTCCAAGGCCGCCATTGCGAAAAGCTCTTCAAAGCCATCACCAATATGGTCCATCTCACCCGGCTCGGGATCCACGCGGATGACGACCAGGAGGTTCTGCAGCTCGACGCGCTCAACCCGCCCCCGTTACTCCAGAAGCTTTTCTTGCTAGGGACGTTGGAGAAAGAATCACTGCCCCGGTTCTTCTTGTCGATCAGCAAACTGAAAAGCCTCACCATCCTGCGGCTCGTCTGGTCAAAGCTCGAGGAGGACATGTTCTGCTACCTCGAGGAGCTGCAGCAGCTGGTGAAGCTCCAGCTCTACGATGCGTTTGACGGCACCAGGATGCGCTTCCGGGAGACGTCGTTTCAGAAGCTCCGGGTGCTCAAGATCTGGGGAGCCCCGTGTCTCAGCCAGATGACGATAAGAAGCGGGGCGATGCCCAGCTTGGTCGATCTCAAGCTCCTGCTCTGTCCGGAGTTGAAATCGTTGCCGTGCGGGATCGAACACGTGGCCACGCTTGAAGAGCTGACCCTGGATTCCACGGCGGAAGAGCTTGTGGACAGGGTTCGGCGCAAGAAAGAGGACAACATATCTCATGTTCAGAGAGTCTACGTCGGGTTCGTCAGGAACCGCGAGCTCGCTGCAGAGAGGATTCAGTAGTAGATGCAGCTCCATCCTCTCTGCTTCTTATTTGTTTCTTCTCTGCTGTAGTAGATTCAGGAGTAGTATACTATAAGTCATCTGATGTAACTTGAAACCTTCAGTTTCTATACAAACTGTGCAAAGCCTTATTTATGTTTGTGCATTTTAAAGTTTTCCTGCGTCCATGTTTGCATTTGGCTTCACTATATTTTCCATGATCAAAATCAGCTTCAATTTCAGTTGTGATTCGATATGTTTCACTTATTGTCTGAACTTTTTTTGGGGGTCACTTATGTCTGAATTTTAGTTGCAGATCATGCTAGAATCAGTGTAGTTTGGGCTTTAGACTTGTGTACAGCTTATTTCCCTTCCAACACAAAACATGATTTTTGTTTCCCCGCGCGTTAATTATGGTCTGGAGCAAGGCCAGACGGCACGAAGTTTAACCTGTAATTTCAGTAGGCTACATAGATGGAAAATGGCTTTTCTTATTGTACTGATTCCATTTTGTTTACAGGATGATCAGAAACTGGAAGATGCACCCCAATTGCATACAGTTCCTTACATTTTCGTGCCATAGCAGAGCAGCACATTGTTCGGATCGAATTTCGTGCCAACATTGCATATCTTATCATAAATCAAGTATTTTAGAGGAGCTAAATTTTTTCTATGATCCTTGTTTGTTTGTACTAGCATTTCGCATGAGAAAATGGAAAAAAGAAGGGTTCACTGTAAACCCGTGTGAAATTCAGCAAGTTTTTTTTACCAAAACCATGGTAGCATTGTAAACCCGTGTGCAAAAGGATCAGCCTTGGGTAAGCTGCAAAAGTGCAAATACTGATGCTTCAGCACTAAATATACCACAAATTATTTTAGACTCTTTCTGAAAATTTACAGCTCATTTTTTGTACAACTTTAAGGGCGTCGTGACGTGATAAGTTCGCCTTGATTTCCTACCCATCTACTTACTTACAAGCAACCGCTGATAAATTATATAATTACATAGTTCTGCGAAAAATGATTAGCACTTTTTGCCATCTCGTTTGTGAAGTGTGTTTGTTGATCTAATTATAATTACTAGCAAGAGGTCCTTGCAGGACCGGAGGATGTCCTGACGATTTCAGAACCAAGGTCGTGTATCTTTTGCAGCATCAGGGCCTTCTCCCGCTCCAGCTGCTGTATGTACAGATCCTGCTCGTCCTGGACGCTCTCCACCTCCGTCAGGGCCAGCGACAGCGCCTCCGCATCGCCGCCATCGTCAACCAAGCCCGAGCATTTCTTCAGGCTGTCTCTCATCTGCCCAGAGTTTCAAAGGATGTCCATCACACGGGACATACAAGCGGTGATGTTCATCACAGAGGAGAATTAAAGTGGCAGGAGTGAACAGAAAAAAGCATGGATTTATGCATTGGCTCACCTGTGCTGATATCTTGTGTCCTTTGCCAAGGGCGGACGCGTCTGTCAGCAGGCTGGTTTTCTTTGCCGAGTCTGCTGCAACTCTTCGGGCAATCTTCACGTGGATTTCTCCGCTCCGCACTCCTTGCAGCGGTATCCATTTGTCGGCGGGTTGATTCGGAGAAAGCATGCTGTATTCGACGGTGCAGTTGCCTATGCTGGCGGTTGGAAGGACCGCGTTATGGTCCTTGACATGCAGGATCAGGGGTTCTCCAGTTTCTGCAAACTCAAATGTCTGGTTCCAGTTTGGAGCCAGCGTCTTGTAAATGACCTGCATGGAAGGAATTATTCAGCTCAAACTGGTTGCCGCACCTAGCAACTGCAAGTAAAAGATTTGACTTATACTGTGGCCCCAGATATAGAAATGGTGGCAAAGACATGGTTGCAAGAGTTAGCACACTGCTATGCTTACTGAATTTGGATAATCTAGAGTAACCTGACACACTATCAAATAATTATTCATGATAGGTACTACTAGATCAGTACGTGTGCGCAGTTTATGCCTTCGCCATGGTACTGAGCTTATTTTCTCTGCTTAAAAACTGCTCAGAAATTCAGTATGACTCCCGCTGTTTCTACTGGGAAAGATTCCATGCAAGAGAAATGTAATGGAACTTATTATTGATGAAAAACATCAATAGAACTAATCACCAGACCTTGGTTCGCTTCTTCTTGTTCCCATATTGCACCCTGACATATGGATCACTAGTTCCTCTAAGATCAGCAGCAACAAGATCCCTAGCCTCAATTATTACTAGCTCGATCCAGCCAGCTTCAACTTTACTGCTTGATCTCTGAAAAAAGGAGTGCAATTCACAATCCAAATGCACAAATCAGTTGAAAAAAATGGCACACCAAGAAAGACTATATGAAGCTATCTGAATAAACAGAATCAAGGATAAACAACTAGTAGTGGAGGGTCTAATGCGTACTACTAAAATAATTGTACTGGACATAAAAATTTAAAAGTTTTAGTAGGGTTCTTAGCAAAATACTGCCGGTATACACACCTTCAGACTGTCGTTGTGATCATTTGATATTGCCTCTATTTCGAGCCTGATCTCTCCTGAATCTACTTTTTCAAGTGGTACCCAGACATCTCGGCTAGCACCATCTAGAAGTCCCTCCAGATTTACTCTTGCACTGCCAATGCTATCATCACTGAATGTGTCTAAATTATAGCATTTGACCTTCAGATATTCACCACCACCAATCTCATCAAATTCAAACTTGTCATTCCAAACTGGTTGGGCCGTACGAGAGAGTGTCTTTGTTCTGTATAAAGCCTAGTGGAACAATCTGATGTTAGAACACAAAATTATCTAAGCTAAATATACTGATTTGTTTGTGAAACCAAAGTTGAGCAAGGTAACAAAAACCTTTCCATACTGGAGTTTCACATAAGGATCACATTTCCCAGATTTACTGTTTACTGCAAGGGCCCTACCCTCCACTACTTTGACTCTGAGCTTCCTTCCTGTCCTTGACTGAAGCTTCGGTGATCCATCAATGGAACATTGAAATTCATTGCTCAGAGAGTTACTCAATGTAACCGACCCATCAGAGAATTGCCATTCTTTTAGCACAAGACTGACAGTTAACTGCAAACAAAAGGATTTGGAACGGTTTGCAGTGCAATCAATAAATATAAAGCAGTTCAAATATGTAACTGTATACATATAGTAAGGATAACCTCCAACACATATGGCATAATTGGCAAAGCAGACAGACTAATATACTTTTTTTAGTTAGCTTATGAAAATTAGCCAGCAGATATGAATCCATGTATTAGAAATTACAATCTTATATCAGGTCTAAAAACAAACAGGCTGTATATTATGTGAAAAAGAACTGATGATGCACATATAGTTACTAAAGAAGAAACGGCAATAAATAGGCAAGTTACCTCGCCTGTGATATCCTCCTCAAATGGAACCACCATTCCAACTTCTTTTCCACAATGCTCAGCATGCCTTGCAACCACACCATCATTATGTCCTATAGCCCAAAATATTGTTGAACCATCTAAAACATACTTGACCTGTTTAAATTGACTCTTAGTGCCTTTGTTATGCAGGAAGAACCTCAAATGTCTAAAGTGATGAAAAACATAGTGAAAGAAGAAGAGCACTATCTGTACCCTACCTTTATCTCACAGCTTGTTAGGTAATTATACTTGACACCATCGGAATCCAGTTCATACAGAAGAAACTTGACAAAACCTGTCTCTCCATGCAGTACCATGTTAAATGTGCTATTCCATGTAGGATTTGGACCCTCACAAGTAGTTGTTTTTCTCATCAAAGTGCCAACTTCCACCTCAATAAATGTATGTGCCTTCCTGTTAAGAGGAGTCCCAGGTGTAGTGCTTCCACTTGAGCTTTGCTGATTCCCTAACTCATTAGTTCTGCTCTTTCTGCCAAGGTTACTAGCTGAAACAACAGTAACAGAAAGAACACCACCAACTGCTTGTTTCTTCAGATCTACTGGTGGCAAAGAAAAGCAGAGACGGCGAGGCTCAACCATTGTCTTGGCTATTGTTTCAGTCAAAAGCTTTACCTGAATGGATATTTAACCTTATAAATGTCAGTACACAATGGCCGCCACCATTACGTTAAGAAAATGCAAAGATATCAAGAGCTGAACTAAATGGTCCACACAGACCCACCAGCCATGTTGAGACACCCGGTAACTCCATACCAGGAACTGTTTGGCTTCCACCACTTCCAAATGCTACACCTATCCTGACTTCTGGAGTAGATTCAAAAGAGTAGAGGACAGCTTCGCCATCAAGAATGGGACTCAGTAGAAGCTGCAACAATGTAATCTAAATCAGAGATAGTAGCAGAACTCAATCCTGCACAGCACAGTACGGTGCTGCAACTCGGAGAGTCGATTGTTATCAATTCAGATATGTTTAACATACAATGTAGTCCCCCCATTCCAAGTTTAGAAAATTATACTCCCTCCTTCCCACAAAATAGATCCCCTAAGTTTTTTCTTAAGTCAAATTCTCAAGTTTGACCAAACTTTAAAAAGTCTGACATAAGACAAACCTTAAAGGACTTAAATCTTTTGGGAAGGAGGGAGTATAAACATCTACAACACCAAATTAGTTCATCGTATCCATCATAAAATATATTTTCTATACTATATATACTTGTGTAGTATTAGCACATTTCCCATAGACTGAGTCAAATCTAGAGAGTTTGAATTAGGACAAAACTAGAACTTCACGTAATTTGGAACGGAGAGAGTAGTCAAGACAAAGCAGGTAACGGCATAACCATTGGGATAAAAAATATCAATGTACAGGAAATGCACTAAGCCTCGCAAAAAAACTGCTTCCTGTGAAATAACACAAGACACCATGTCCTTGCTGTGACAAACGCCTATAATCTAAACTGCATGCTCAAGCTTTTTTCCTTTGTCAACCACTCATAATTAAATGGCTCTTACAAAACACATTTTTTGTAGTCAGCCTCTTGACATCATTAAACAAAGTTGGGAATATGTCCCTTTCCAATTAGATATAATGGTTAGAAAGAGCATAACCAATGGAGAGAGCAGAAGACATACATCTCCCTTGATGTGGATGCTGTTTATAACAATGCGAGCAGTGCCCATCAGAGGTTTCGCTAATTTCGCCATAAACATCACACTCATCTCTTTGCTGTGCCAATCAAAACCCAAGGACATGACTTGCTGCATATTCAAAAATAAACAAATTATAGTGTTAAGTTGTGTCTTAAATAAACTATGGATTGTACAAGTCTTTCAGATAGCACACAATACAGAATATGGACAACTACCTGTTCACCTGAAGTCATCCAGCGCATACCCTGCTCTCCCAAGGTAGGTGGGCAAGAACCGAGTGAGAATTCCTGTAATTCTATTTTATCCTGGGGATGTAAAACCAAAGTTTTAGCACTGCAACCAGAATAGCAAATGAACAAGGAAAATGAATTAAGGGGAACTTACTATCAGTTTTGGTTTTCGATTCTTTAAGCGTCTCTGCAAAGTTATAGACTCAGGTCAGCTACTTATAAAAAAAAAACTGTAGAAACCAGTAAGCAACATGTCTTGCAGTACATATTGACTACCTCAAATTAATAGAACCAAAAGGAATTTGGTAATGAATTTGATTCATAGATCATCAAATTCCATCAAATAGGAGTAGTATAATCTAATTTGATTTGCCAAAACCTTTTGAACTAAGTTGCATCCAAGCACAAAATATAATTTCAAGATATGGCGCAGAAGCTCACCTCGACAGTAGATTGGAACTTCTTTGATAGTTTTGGCTCCATGTAGTTGGGCCAAACTTCAATCAAAAGTTTGTTCAACCACTCGCAAGGCTCTATTGGAGTGGTAGGCTATACAACAGAGTAAAATGAGCATGACTGTATCTCCATAAACAAACAGTAACATAAATAAAGCAAGGGAACAGCACATACTGTTGTGTTCAGTATAAGGTGCTTCCATCTTTTGTTCAAATCTTCTACAGCCATCTTCCGTTTAAACCTGCCATACTGCATCAGTGATACAAAAGGGTGAGAACTAAGGAGACAAACGAAACCATTAGGGACCCAGATAAAATGCTGTTGCTGCTAATCTCACATTCAAAATCACTATTAGCACTTAACAAAACAAAACAGATCAGAGTGTCTGAATAAATAAAAAGTTATAGTTCACACCTCACACTCTGTTTCTCTTTCAGAAAGTACAAAAGTATCATGTGAACGCCCAAGACCAACATTATACACACTCTGTTTCTCTTTCAGAAAGTACAAAAGTTCATGTGAACGCCCAAGACCAGACATTATACATGCTATGCTAAAAGTAAGATGGCATGAAACGGCCTACGAATCTGTTCATGATCTGAACAAAGCACAGGGGAAAGAAACGGCAGCTACCTGAATGGTCGCCCAGACGGCGGCGGCGAGGGGCACCCAGTTGGAGAAGGGTACGACCCAGCGCTCGACGAACCAGGCGAAGAGGCCGAGCGGGATGAGGAACGGCAGCAGGGGCTGCTCCACCATGACCTGGTTGAAGAAGTCGAGCGCATCCTTGGCGTGCAGCTTCTTGAGCCCCTTCTTCGGCATCTCCGCTGCACCCTCGGCCCCGCGGCTTCAGGGACAAGCCGCTCCACTCTTGTAGCAGGATTCCACACAACACAAGCACGCACACCTTGGCGTGGTGACTGACAGGCAGATGAGATGACTTTGTTCGGTGCTTTACGCCTTTGTTCCCACTGGTTCTTGTCTTGCTCCTAAGCCCATCTCATCATCTTTTTGCACGCACCACACGCGGCTTTCTCAGGCACACTGCCTGTCGTCCGTCCACCTGCAATTTAGCACGAGTTAATGCCTGCCCGCATCGTGAAGAGACGCCACCACGGCAGCATCGGTAGAGAGATGATTAGGTCCTGGAACTGCTCCCACTTGTGAGATGTTTCAGTCTCACCTGTCCTTTCTCTCCCCCATCCCCCATCTAGTGTGTAGAGAGAATAATACAGTCCCTGAATTGAAATCCAGGCCTCGTAGCAGCAATTATCATGGAGAGATTGACCTAGTGGTATTAGTGTTTGGCTACGGCAATTGCTCTGCTCCTTCCCACTCACGAGATCTTTCAGTTTCACCTGTCCTTTCCCCCCCTTTAGATACAAAAAAAAATCCATGTGTGGTGCTAGGCAATTATCATGGGGGAATTGACCCAGATGAGCCTGCCTGCCCAAGTCAATGGCGGAATCACGGGCCGTCTAGAACCACGGAAAAGTAGAGGGGGGAAGTCTACAGTCTAGTGTGTTGAATTTGTGGGGAAGACATGGCAATTCTAGTACTGAAGGGTCGGGAATTGGGTGGGAATAATCGGCAGGCATGAATGCGCGGAGGAGGAGGAGGAGGGAAAGAGAGGAGAAGGAACCAACCTGGCGCCGCCCGAGGGGCGCCGTGGACCAGACTGCCGGCGGGCGGGCAAGCAACCGGTCCCGGAGCACGCGGCCTTCGTCCCCCTCCGCCGCCGAGGCTCGCGAGGGCCCCGGATTGAGACGTCGATCGATCTCCCGAGCGGAACCACGAACAGGCCTCCTCCCCGGCCGGCCGCGTTGGGACCCCGGCAATAAGGACCGACCGCCGGGCCTGGCGGCGAGTATGGCAAGTTTTGGGGCCGGTTGGGGTCGGGATGGATCGATCGGGGCCGGGGCGGGCAGGTTTCCTTCCTTGCCTTGCTTTGGATTGGATCGTAGCGCTCGCTGTCCGTGGGTTGGTATTTTGGAAGCTTTGGGGGGTGGGGGGAGCGGCGGAGGGGCGGAATGCGTCCGTCAAATTTGGCTGCTCTCTTCTCTTCTGTTCCGCCTTGGTGCGAGAGGGAAATGAAGAGGGAGAGGGGCAGTTGAATCAACCGCACTCGTCTCCGCTGCGCTGCAGACTCTGACAGGCAGCACGAGGGAACCCAAGACGGAGAAGCGGAGGAAAGAAATAGAGAGACGACGACGACGGTGCGCGTCTGTTCCTGCCTCACCTGTGCCTGTGCGGCGTCGCCGTCGGATCGGAACGGCCACTCCACCCGCCCACCGGGTACCGAACAGATGATGGTGGTGACGACATTCCGTTTGGACGGGGCCGGTGGGTGCCCGTCGCCGTCGACCTAGTGTGCTGTCCTCCACGACCACGGCGACGCGTGCCGGTCGGTTGGTTTCGCCTGTCCTCCTTTGGTTATGCCTGTCTGATTTTTGCTGTTCTTTTTTTTCCTGAGAATTCTGCCATTCAAATCACGAATCGGTACAAAGTAGTTGACCCTTACAAGCACACTGAAACGCAAACACAAAAGGACCATGAACACAAATTTTTGATGTTTTGATGATGACCCTTTTGCTATACTTTAGCCGGACCTCATCCCCTCCGGAAGTATTTCGGGATCTGACCCTCTTGCTACCGTCAAGGTCTCTAAAGGCAGGCAACTTATCCACGTCAGTGAAGTGTTGTCCTATCGCCAAACAGGCTGGCGGTAGCCTGTATAACCCTACCGTCGATGCATTCGATAAAAACTACAGTAGTACTGCTCGCCGTCGGAGATGTTCACGACCTTCGTGTTAGCAGTGCCGGACGGACGGACCGGCCTGTTAGTTGGACGCGGCCTGCAACTCCAGCTCCTCATCGGGTGTCTAGGTCCGTGAATACTTCCTCGAGCTCCGTGTACACCTAGAGGAGGTTGCAACGGGAGTTACTACGTGGACGGGAGTGGGAGGGTGGAAATGAGCTGGCTAGAGTTGAGGGTCGCCGTTCGGCTTAAATAGCCGGGTTTGGCTCCTCGGGCGGCACACTGGAACGCATTCTCACATAACCAATGGGTTTCGGCGTGTTTCCATGAGAGTCTCGTCTGTTAGTCCTTTGTGAGGAACGCGACCGGGCCTCCTCATATCCGCCCCGAATATGGGGGATGCCGATGAACACGAACATATAGAGCCGATTTAAGAAGCTCGACCAGGTCATGATTCTCTGACCGATTACCAACTGGACCGTTCACCCAGACGTATAGGGGGCATTTGAGAAGACCGCTGTAAGTGGGCATTTGTGTAGCTCAGCTGTAAATGCTCTCGGGCCACTGAAACACCCTGTAAATGGCTGACCGGGCGGGACAGGATGGGCATTTTCTTGTCAAGAAACGAGGGATACCATTGAGGGCCTCTTTGATTCATAGGATTTCCAAAACGTAGGAATAGAAAAAGCACGGGATTAGAGTGTCATGTCATCTTGAATCCTACAGGATTGTATAAGTGTTTGATTGTGCATAGAAAAAAACGCAAGATTCTTTCAAAAAGGTTTGAGAACAATCCTACGAATCAAACAACCTACATAGAAAAAAAAATCATAAGAATTAGAGTCCTTCAAAATTCCTAAATTCCTCGGAGAATCCTTTGAACCAAAGAAGCCCTCAAGGGTCTCCAACCTACGCTGCAAACCATTGCAACCATGGACGAATGAAGAAGAAATTGACCCGGACGAGGTCTCTCCAACCAAAGTCAACGCCTCAACCATGTGGCCTCGTATAGGCCGCCGAAAAGCAGAGTGAGTCAGACTCGCACACACCGCAATTCACAGCTGCATCTGATCCGGAACAGTCAACGTGTACACCCGCACGCACGCACGCACTCCTCCCCGACCCGTCTTCTCTGCTCCGAGTCTGAAACCACGAGGCCGTTCCCGTCCGCTTCGGTCCAGAAACGAAACGACGGCAGCAGCAGCGACGACGGCGACGTCTGCTCCCGTGCGGCGTCGCGGTCGGACTTGGCGACGGCGAATAGTACTCATAGTGCTCGACAAATTCCGTTTAGGTGGCCGTCGCCGTCGGTCGACCTGTCAACCCGTCATGATGACTGACGGACGGGCGGTTGCGGCTGACATGGTATTGCGTGCGTGTACGGGTTCGTACGCGAATGGCGCGGCTATGTTTTTTCACTCCAGAGCACGGCAACAGGGTTTTCTTCTCTCACCACCCTCCAGTGGAAGCAAGCAACACGAAGCTTCGGAGACCGCTGTCCTCCACCGGTGTCGCTTGGATGGAGCATTCGACTTTAGATGTTAAACTTTGGTGCAATGTTTGTTTGGTATTCGGTTCGGACATTTGATACCCCTTCATCAAAGGGATAGGAGTAGCGACATATGTGTTGTCAAGATGATGACTTCAGTCTTACTGATGTATTACTCTGTAAGGTCTTTGTGAATAATTAATAAAAATGTCTGCATGCATCATCAAGATGCAGAGGCCGGAGGTATATCCTTCTTTTCTAAAAAAAAAAGTTGGTTGTAGAAGACACAAGGTACGTTTAACCAGTTTAAATTGTTGTGATCCAAGTCCCGTAATCAGAAGACCAAATCTTCACCTTATTCTCCTTTAGTTAAGATCACTTAGACCTTGCCCAATCCTTTGAATACACATATATTCTAGGTTATTACCTTTTTTCCCATGTTATTTCATTACTATTTTCTTTTTTTCAAAAATGTTGTGAACACATATATTCCAAAAGAAAAAAAACTATATCTGTAAATCATGAGTTTGCAAACATGTTAACTTAATTCAAACAATGTTGATAACATTTAAAAACTGTTTGTGACATTTTAAAAATGTTCACGTCATTAAAAAAATGTATTTGACATTTAAAAAAATGTTTATACAATGTAAAAAATGTGTAATTCATGAAATACTACCATACAAAAACATGAACTTTACATTTTTAAAATATTCAGGAGTTTCATAAATATGTTCATGTCACTTTTAAGATATGTTTATGCAATCTACAAAAATGATTGCCTAGTGTAAATAAAAAAAATCAATGCATATTTGAAAAATGTGTATAACATTTTGGAAAAATGTCCAAAATCATGTGTTTGAAATAGTGTTAGTTGTGTATTCGAAAAAATTATAAAAAATCTTTTACATGTATACAAACAATGTACAATGTGTGCAAAAGAACATTATTTTAAAAATCATGTATTTTCAAAATGTTAAACGTGTATAAAAAAGTTCTTGATGTATATGGAAAACATACAGTGTACATGAAAATTTAGATATAATTGACAAAAGGGAAATAAAAAAAGAAAAGGAGGAAAAGATATTCGCAAAACATGATTCGAAAAATGTACATCATGTATTTAAAAATGTTTACATATATTAAAAAAGTTCCAAACATGTATTTAAAAAATTTCAACATATATTCAAAAAATATTGAAAACATGTATTTTTAAAAATGTACATTGTGTATTTGAAAAATGGTCAATGTGTATCAACAAAATGCACTACGTGTAAACTAGAATTGTACATTGTGTAAAAGTAGACATGTGTAGAAAGTAAGCACAAAGAAAACGGTGAGGAAATGACAAAGACCAAAGAAAACAAATTTAAGAAAGAAAGAAAAACTGAAGAAAACCAGCAAAACCCGGCGAAGAAGCGAAAACTAAAACATAAAGACGAAAAACCAGTAAAGAAACAAAGTAAAACAAGAAAAAACAAAGAAAACGCAAAAAACGTACACCGGCAAATTAACGAGTAAAAGTTCTTGTTCACTCACATTGTACAATTTTTTTTACTATAACTCACATTGTAC